CCTTTCCGACTTTGGCAAAGATGGCACGTCTTTACAAATTCTGAAACATCTTTCAACATGGAAGGCCAATAGTATTTATTCTTCAATCGGTAAGTGGTTCTGGCGACGCCCAGATGGCAATTCAGCATATGGTTGTGGTATTCACTCATGACTTCCTTCCTTCTCTTTTTTGGCACTACCAGCAACCATGCCCTACCTTCAGGATTTGGATTTTTCTTGTAGAGACACCCATTTTCTTCTTTGAAGTTCTGTGTAATTGAACGCTTGTTTCCACTAAGGTTCTCCTTAATATTCTCAATAAAATCATCCTTTTCGTCTATTATTTGATTCAGAAATAGTCTTTCATAATATTCGTCCCATTCGTTTTCAGGTAAGGGTCCTCTAGATAGACCATCAGCGTCCAGATGTTTTTACCCGATTTGTGTATAATTTCGAAATTATATTCCTGAATCTTCAGTGCCCATCGTGCTAATCGGCCGGTCGGATCTTTCAGATTCTTAAGCCAGCATAGTGCTTGATGATCAGTTACGATTTTGAAGGGCCTTCCATATAGGTAGGGTCGTAACTTGGATATTGACCACACAACAGCTAGACATTCTTTTTCGGTAGTCGAATAATTTTGCTCAGGTTTGCTCAGTGTTCGACTTAGATATGAGATAACTTTTTCTTTATCGCCGAACTTTTGGACTAATGTTGCACCCAGGCCGATGTTAGATGCGTCAGTATGAATGTAAGTAATTGCATTCGGGTCAAAGTGCCCTAAGATTGGAGGATTTATCAATGCTACTTTAAGGGTTTGAAATGCTTTTTCTTGATTTTCTGTCCAGGTAAAAGGTACATTCTTTTTTATAAGACTGGTTAATGGATTGGCAATTTTTGAAAAACCTTTGATAAATTTTCTATAATATGAGCACATTCCTAAAAATGATTGAACTTCTTTAATCTTTTTGGGCCGAGGAAAATCTCTAATAGCCTTGATACTATGCTCCGCTGGTTTTATCCCATGTTGATTAGTTATATGGCCAAGAATCTCCAGTTCTTTGAAAGCAAATTGGCATTTTTTGTTGTTCAATTTTAAATTAGCCTCGCGAAAACATTTAAAACAGCTTCTATTCTTTTGAGATGTGTTGAAAAATCCGAACTATAAATGATTACGCCATCTAGATAACATAAGCAAATTTGCCATCTAAGATTACCAAGCATATTTTCCATGTTCCTCTCAAATGTAGCAGGGGCATTGCATAGACCAAAGGGCATTACGTTGAACTCATATAGGCCATGTGCTGTAGTGAAGGCTGTCTTCTTTATCTTTCTCCTCAACCTCTACTTGCCAATATCCTGATTTAAGGTCAATTGCTGAAAAGTATTTGGATCCTTGAAGTGTATCCAATACTTCATCAATTCTGGGAATTGGGTAAACATCCTTCACTGTTACATCATTCAATTTTCTGTAGTCAACGCAAAATCTGTACTTACCATCTCGCTTCTTGACCAAGATTACAGGGAAGGACCATGGACTCGAGGATGGTCTAATTATGCCGTCTCTGAGCATTTCATCAATTTGTTCTTTTATGATTTCTCGCTCTTTCGCGCTCACCCTATACGGCTTGTGTTTGATCGGTTTCGCGCCTTCTGTATCGATCCGATGTTTCGCTAAGTTGGATCTTCCTAATCCCGACGAAAACAAATCCTCGTACCTTTCCAAAACTTGTTTCAATTGCTCCTTTTCCTTATATGCTAAATTTTCGTTTATCTGAAATTGGGGTTCTTCATGCTCTTTTCGTTCACTTTCTTCCATAAGATTCACTCCGGCTGGCTGGCTTCCAAAGCACAATGTTTGGTTTTTTAATATTTTTAATGGTCGAAGGTAAGGGTTTGTTATCCAGATATATGTTTCCTTATTCACAACATTTATTAAGCTTCTCGCTAGTCGAAGTCCATTTGTTTGAAACATTTTATGGTTCTCCTCGATGATGTATTCGCCATCCTCTGCTTCTACAAATGCATTAATCAATTTAATAGAAAGTTCTGGTATAATGGCATCCTTTGCACTTTTTATTTTCTTCTGTTGATATTTGGTTACGTCACGATTTTTTGTCAAGTCATATTTGATTATTTCACGCTGACAATCAATTTTTGCGTTCATTTTCTTAAGAAAATCACGTCCAAGTATAAATATTCGCAAATGTGTTCTCATTATCACAAATTGATGTGCAATTGTTTTGTCATCAAATTTTATATTTAAAATAACATTTCCTACGATATCTAATTCTTTGCCATCGGGTCCGGAGCACATTTTATCAGGATTTATTATTTCAAGACCTGTGTTAAGAGCTGTACTAAGGTCGACCACTGAAAGATCGGCGCCTGTATCAATCAAAGCTTCGCAGATACCGATTCTATCCACGTTAATGTTCATTTTATATTTGGGGTCCAATTTTTTATTTCCATTTATGGTCGACTTGCTTTGATTGACGGACTCAGGCGCGATGTTTAGTTTAAATCTTCTAATGCGGCATATCTATTCCTTGTAGGGATACTCGAGTACGGGCTATTACTTACGTCAGCGTAGAGCAGAGGTCTCGACTTCTGAGTTCCATTATCCATTCGGATTTCTTCTTCGACCTTGTCTTGTGTAACTATGGGGTCCTCTTCCACAATTCTTACAAACCTGACTCTGCAATACCGCGCTACGTGTCCTGGCTTGTTACACTTGAAACATATTGGTCTCCCGTCTTCTGTCCTATTCCTATTTGAATTTGGATTCTTATTGTATGTTTTACTTGGGTAGACCGGTTTTGGCTCAGGATTGGGAGTGTAAGATCGTCTAGGGGCAGATACCTGGGGCAGAGGCTTGTTCTGGTAATACCTCGGAGTGGGGGCCTGGGGCTTGGAGGTGTTCTGGTAGTACCTCGGAGCGGGGGCCTGGGGCTTGGAGGTAGTTCTGATATGGTCTTCTGAACGACGTAACATTCTTCCATTGCTCTTGATGATGGGGACGAGGAGAGCGTGGTCCATTATAAAGAGCTTTTGATTTTTCTGTACGTTCTTGGTAATTCTTTTCGAACAAATCCAGCTTTTTACAAATTTCTAGAGTTCATTGGTATTTTTAGGAGGGTTTAGGTGAAGGGCAAAAGAGTATTCTTTCTTTAACCCTCCAATAACCCAGTTTATTTTAGTCTCTTCTTCCATTTGGGGGTCGACCTTGTTGCACAGTACAAGGATATCCTCTGCGAACCTGATTGCAGGTTCATTCCACTGTTGCATCCTGTTTAGTCTCATCTTAATTTCCTCTTTGTTGGCGTCTGAGGCAAAATCCTCAATTAGGCGCCTCTTGAAATTTTCCCAGCTGGTGAAACTTATCTTGTGTAGGTTCAGCCAGGTTTTGGCGCTACCAATCATATTCATGGCAGCATAACGAGAGATAATGTAGTCTGCCCAATGGTACAGGAAGCCAATTTCCTCAAGAGATTCAATCCATGGGCGAGGGTCTTCCGTTCCATCATACTTGGGGATGTCGATGTTGGGATTCAGGACAACTGGGTCGGAACTAGCATCTCTACCAATTGTTGCACCAGGTTGCGGCTTGGCAGACTCTTCAGCCTTGATTCTCTCCTGTGCTGGGTCTTGCATCTTACCAGAGCGTGTTTCAACCATCCTACAAATTTATAGAAGGGAATAATGAGATAAGTCTTCTTTAAGTAGCCTCCCGAATAATTCATTTATATTCTCACATCAAAGAGAGCAGCGAAGTCACACGTGTACCTAAATACAAATGATGATAATCTAAATAATCTGTTTTAAATAAATATCACAGAATATAAAATAAATAAATATATAATTCAAATTTCAAATATATTAAAAATAATATAAGAAATACGCCATTAATCATGATGTAACAATATGTAGCAACTGATTAGCGATTTTTTAAAGTGTTTACTATATTTTTACCTCTTCTCTAAATATGATCGTCCCTAGCCGCTTTTATTTTCACTAATATACATCTAATTGCTCAATGAAAGAAGATAAAATAATTTATTATTTCCTTTTTAGCGCATTTAAATAAAAGCTTTTTTTTAAAATGTATTTTTGTTTATTATTTATTTAGTTAGTTTTCAGTCATGAATTTACAAAACTTAGAATCAAAAGTTCACTGGGGATTAGGCCTTAAATAGACGGAGCCTGCTCGCGGCGGTCCAACATGGGGATCACCTGTCTTGGATAACAAAGGTCAGCAGGTTAAGGACATGCTAACCGGCCTTGACTTTACACCATTAAATAACGGAGAGATCGGAGACTACAGGTACAGAATCCGCAATAGACATCACAGCGATAAATTATAACAGCTTCCACGACACAATGGGAAATCCTGAGAAGTGAAATCAGTGACCACAGACCAATTTTAACAACACTTGACTTTAAAATAGAGAATATCCAACACAGAATGAAAGAACACGAAACTTTAGGAAATCCGACTGGAAAAAAATCGCATAAAAGCTTAAGGAACTGTGTAATGAAGTATGGTTTCACCAGGTTGCGGCTTGGCAGGCTCTTCAAACTTGATTCTCTCCTGTGCCGGGTCTTGTATCTTACCAGAGCGTGTTTCAACCATCCTACAAATTTATATAAGAGAAGAATGAGATAACTCTACATTAAGTAGCCTCCAGAATAATTTATTCATTTCTCACATCAAAGAGAGCAGTGAAGTCACATAGTGTACCAAAATACAGATGGTGATTTTATAATACATAAATATATTTATCTTTAATAATATATATAAAAGTCAATTTCTGTCTGTCTGTCTGTTTCGCGATGAACTCAAAAACTACTGAACCAATTGGTACCAAATTTTGCATGTCGCTTTTTATAAACCTGAGGGAAATTTTCGGCTGCATTTTGATTAGTACTTTTGGCTATTTCTTTTTTTCATTTGAAGAACTTTTTTTTACGCGGACTAATCAGGAATGGAATGAATACCTAAATATGGCCATTTTTTTAAAGCATCGGTGGTTCAGTGGTAGAATGCTCGCCTGCCACCGCGGGCGGCCAGGGTTCGATTCCCGGCCGATGCATTTTTTTTAAAACAATTTTTAAAACTCATTTATATTATATCTTCTATATATATAAAAATGAATGTTTGTATGTTTGTTTGTTTGTTTGTTGGTTTGTATGTCCGGTATACAAATTCGCAGTAGTTCACTAATTCAAACCAAAATTTCCATACATAGGTAAAAAAATACGGGGAAGACGATAGGCTATTTTAAAAAATATATAAATCAATTATTAAAACTAAATATTTTTAGTCAGAAAATGATTATGACGATATTGCTGTATCATGTAAGATTATCAGATACAAAATTATATCGGGAAAAATTCCAAAAAGCAGAGACCACGGGTGAAACCAGCTCATTTTTTTTGTACGCAGGAACAAAATTCTAACAGAAAAACATTCATTCGAGCAGAAAACAAAATCCAGATCATCTTTCTATAAAAATATCGCTTCTCAGACACAAAGTTTGGAGCGGGACGTTTCACAAGAGTGACATCCACGCCGCCAATTTATAATTGTAACGAATAGTATTTAAATAAAAACATTTAATCGGGTGAAACTCGGGCGTTGCCCGGGTCATTCGGCTAGTAATACATATATTCTGTTTATTAAAATAAATAAATTTAAAATATAAATTTGAATTTAAAATATATGAAAAATAATATTTCAAATTAAAATCAAATAGGTGCATTAGCCATAATGCAACACTTCCCCCTCTCCAAAGGTCGTTACGTCCTCGTGAGTGACCTCATTAATTCTCTCAAAATAGGGTTTGAGTCTTGAGACATGGACTACCAATGGGTCTTGGCCAGGATTATCTTTCGGCTCAATTAAGTAATTTACGCTGGACAGCTTCTTTAATATTCGATATGGGCCAACATATTTTCTCAATAGTTTTTCACATTTTCCGATTTTCCTGACTGGTGTCTAAACTGTCACTAAATGTCCCGGGTCATAGATTTTCTCATTGTGTTTTTTGTCATAGTTTCTTTTCATTCTTTCCTGGATCTTTTCAGTGTTTGTTAATGACTACCTCTCTCGTCATTGCAATTTTATCTAAGTAGTTTTCTATATATTCGTCGTAATCATCCATGTTACTGTCCATTGGAATATTCTCGTCGTCTAAGAGGGACATGGGTTCCCTCCCAAACAACAGGAAAAATGGAGAGTAGCCTGTGGTTTCTTGAATCGTGGTATTATACGCGTGGATGATAAAAGGGAGGATTTCGTCCCAGTTCTTTTGGTCTGTGTTCACATGCATGCTGATCATATTGATTAAAGTTCTATTTAGCCGTTCCGTTAGTCCGTTAATCTGGGGGTGGTAGCTCGTTGTGAAGCAATGTTTAACTTTGCACATTTTCATGACCTCCTTCTTCAAATTGCTAGTAAATTGTGAACCTCTATCGCTAATAAGAAATCTTGGGGCCCCGTGACGTAAAATAATATGTTCGATTAAAAATGTAGAGACTTCTTTCACTGTTGCTTCTGATACTGCCTTTGTTTCAGCATTAATATATATAAATGAATAAAATAAAGCATCAAGGGCTGCGTATCTTTATATATTCCTCCCTTTTATCATCCACGCGTATAATACCACGATTCAAGAAACCACAGGCTACTCTCCATTTTTCCTGTTGTTTGGGAGGGAACCCATGTCCCTCTTAGACGCCGAGATATATATAAAGCCCTTGATGCTTTATTTTATTCATTTATAAATCGTACAGGGCTTTTTCAATTGATATTAATATATATAGTCACGACCCGTCTTTCCTCATCGGCCGGTCGCCTCTGTCACGAATGCGCGCGCATAGGGAGGTCACGTGCTCGCCGGCAGCCAATAAAAATTAAAAAAAAACTCCCTCGAGCCGGATTTGAACCAGCGACCTAAGGATCACCGTTGTAACATCTACAGTCCTCCGCTCTGCCAACTGAGCTATCGAGGGATACAAACTGTATGAATAAGTTTACCTTATAAAGTCAACTAATCCTATTTCTACACAAAATGTATTAATATATATTGTCACGACCGTCTTTCCTCATCGGCCGGCCGCCTCTGTCACGGATGCGCGCGCACAGGGAGGTCACGTGCTCGCCGGCTCCCTCGAGCCGGATTTGAACCAGCGACCTAAGGATCACCGTTGTAACATCTACAGTCAGGTAAAACACGGGCGTTGCCCGGGTCATTCGGCTAGTACTTGGTATAATAATCAGTCAACACAATTATCCACTTCCTTCCTCTTTTCGTTGATGGCAAGGGGCCAAAAAAGTCAATTCCGATTCTTTCAAAAGGGTAGTTAGCTGGGGGAATAGGTTGTAAAAGTCCAGAAGGCAAGTGATTTGAATCTTTCCTACTTTGGCAAAGATGGCACGTCTTTACAAATTCGGAAATATCTTTCAGCATGGAAGGCTAATAGTATTTATTCTTCAATCGGTATGTGGTTCTCGCGACGCCCAGATGGCCATTCAGCATATGGTTGTGGTATTCACTCAGGATTTCCTTCCTTCTCTTCTTTGGCACTACCAGCAACCATGTCCTACCTCAAGGATTTGGATTTTTCTTGTAGAGACACCCATTTTCTTCTTTAAAGTTCTGTGTAATTGAACGCTTGTATCCACAAAGGTTCTCCTTGATATTCTCAATAAAATCAACCTTTTCGTCTATTATTTGATTCAGAAATAGTATTTCATAATCTTCGTCCCAATAGTTTTCCGGTAAGGGTCCTCTAGATAGACCATCAGCGTCCAGATGCTTTTCACCCGATTTGTGCATAAATTCGAAATTATATTCCTGAATATTCAGTGCCCATCGTGCTAATCGATCGGTCAGATCTTTCAGATTCTCAAGCCAGCATAGTGCATGTTGATCAGTTACGATTTTGAAGTGCCTTCTGTTGGACACCAGCGCCGCCACTCAAGTATAACACGTGACCGTAAGGATGACGTCGGCCCCCCCCCCTCCAACTGACTGTAAAGTTTAGCCTAACGACGCTGTTGTTTGTTTACCTTCTACGGAGGATGTAACCTCTTTGTTTCCTCTCTTTCCCTTTTTTAATCTTTATATAACCTATGCTTTAATAAATTAGTTAGTGCAAGGCTCTTGTCCTAAGTGTAACCAAGTACCTTGTCTACACCCCTACAAGAAAAGATTATGAGACTGATTGGAGCTGCCTGAAGCATTGAACGGTAAGCCTATTTTTTTGTTCTCTCTCCCCCCCTTCAGTGGACGCCATCTTATAATGGAAGCTAACGAAAGTTTAACGAAAATTACCAAGCTAAATGGATTAAACTATTCCTCATGGAGCTTCCAAATTAAGCTCATTCTGATGGACAATGACTTATGGTCAATTGTTGACCCAGGCGAAGTCAAACCCGAGGGAGGGGATGTTAGTCTAATCAACAAATTTAATACGAGGCAGAATAAGGCTTTAGCAAAGATATGTCTCTCTATTGATGAGGAGCAGCAGAACCATATCAGACATCTAAATTCCCCCAAAGAAGTTTGGGATGAATTACAAAGACTTTATGCACCCAGGGATAGCAAACACAGAATTCTCCAACTGCGTCGAAAGTTGTACTCCCAGAAATTCTGTCAACATGCGAACATGAATGCCTATTTGGGAAGCATAAATCTAATAGTGAGTGAACTCACAGGTGTAGGGGATAAAATTGAAGACGGTGATCTAAGCATGCTAATTCTTTGTGGAATGCCCGAGGACTGGGATAATGTTATATCAACAATGTGTAACTTACCAGAGTCAGAGTTCACCAGTGCCAACATCAGACGTAAATTGTTAGCTGAGGCAGAGCGCCGGTATGCTACAACAAATGAAGGGATGGGTGCACTGTCAGTCAGGAACTCTAACAAGAAACAATTCCCTCATGAACATCAAGGTTCTAAAACTGTTAGAAAATGTTTCGGATGTGGGAAAACAGGGCATATTGCACGGGACTGTTTCAAACTGAAAAAGAATAACGGTAAACAACAGGAAAAGGGAGCGATACATCAACATCACGAAGCAAAGAACTTGAATGTGATGTATAATGCAGCAGTTGTATCAGAAGAGGATACGTGGGTAATTGACTCAGGTGCCACGCATCATATGACTCCGAACAGAAGGTATTTTTCCACGTTGAATGACGAGAATGTAGGACAAGTGACCACCATTGATGGTACATCACATTCAAACATAGGAAGAGGTAATGCTCAAGTAGATCTGATCAACAATTCTGGACAACTTAGAAGCATAGTTGCTCAGAATGCAATGTTCGTACCTGGGATCAGACATGGTGTACTCTCTGTTCTACAAATTGTGGAAAATGGTCATGAGGTTATCTTCGACAAGAAGGGATGTCATATATACGACAATGATCATAACTTGATGATCAGAGCAGAGAAGAGAGGAAGGCTCTACCTCGTCAGGACTGCTCCGTCCAGATTTCCAGAATCAGGAGAATGTTCAAATTCCATTGCTCAAACCAACAATTTTCGTAAATTCCCACTAAATTTATGGCATCAGAGACTCATGCATATCAACTATGACACCATAGTAGACATGATGAAAAGAGAAGTTGTCATTGGTTTGAACTGTCAGGCTGAAAAACCTGATAAGTGCTCTGATTGTATGATTGGAAAATCGACAAAAAGACCTTTCCTGAATTTGAGATCTACCAAGGAAACTCAGACACTAGCTCTTGTTCACTGTGATCTAATGGGACCGTTCAACATTGAGAGCTGGGGTGGATCAAAAGGGGTGGGGTGGATCTCAAAAGGAAGGGCGATACTCTAGAAAAATTCAAGGAATGAATGAAAGAAGCTGAAAATCAGACGGGATTTTCTCTCAAGAGGATCCGTACAGATAACGGACTAGAGTTCTGTTCATCTCCTTGGGATATTTTCACGAAGGCCCATGGTATAGTACATGAACGCACCATGGTCTACACACCTGAACAGAATGGTGTCGCCGAACGCATAAATAGGACTTTGCTGAACTTAGTGAGGAGTACTGTGAACAGTTGCAATCT